ATAGCCAGAATCATTCAACCCATTCAACCCATCTGAGCCCAGGTCATCCTGCACCTGCCCCATTCTGTTATTAGACAGTGAAAGGAGAAGAAACACAGTGATGGACTTAACTCCCTGTCACTCTGCTTTCTCTTCCTATCAGCATGCTTCTTGTCAGTACAAAAACTGATTGTCTCTCCGTGCTGCAGCTTACATTCCAAATATGATGTACAGGGACTGCTGATACCATGTCCAGAGATGCCCCTGGTACCTTTTTCATAGGCTTTTTTGAGTTTGGGCAAGGACACAGGGGCCCCATGATCCCCTATTGCCCGGGGGCCCCATGTGTTGTCAGTCCTCCCCTGACCATGTCATGTTTAAGTACTTACATGGCTTGCAATTTAAAAATGCATTTAATGATGTATTAGGTAGCTAATACAAAGCTACTTTAATTTGTGTTTATTATGTATATTATCTAAATATAGTTCAATTTTAAGTTAACGAAATCAGATTGAGTTAACTTTTACTCATTGTCCTTTGTTTTCTATAGAATAAACCTTGAAATCTATCTCTTTCACGGTGCTATTTACAGTCAAATGAACACCCACAAAACTAATCCAACAGTTTATTTTGAGAATGTGTGAGCAAACTCCAGGCAAATATGGTCCTGATAAGGCAGTGGTTCTCAACCTTCCTAATGCCGCGACCCTTTAATACAGTTCCTCATGTTGTGGTGACCCCCAACCATAAAATTATTTGCCCAGTAATTATAATTCATGAAGTGTCATTTTACATCCAATACTACTGCTTTCAGCACAGTAGCTGCTTTCAACACAGTAGTTGCTTTCTACACAGTAGCTGCTTTCTACACAGTAGCTGCTCATTACACATCGGAAATATGTGTTTTCCCGATGGTCTTAGGTGACCACTGTGAAAGGGTCATTCGACCCCCAAAGGGGTTGCGACCCACAGGTTGAGAACCACTGTGATAAGGCCTCATATACACTGCTGCTCCTAAACGTGAGTTTAGGAGCTTTTGGTATTTTTTGCCAAAGCCCCTGAACTCAACTTAATAAAAGCCTATGGGGGAGAGTAACTAAAACTGGTGAACTCAGAATCTGGTACAGTGGTGTATGGTAGTCAATCAGCTTCTAAATTCAGCTTGTTCAATTAAGCTTTGGCAATAAAACCTGGAAGCTGATTGGTTTCTATGTAGAGCTGCACCAGATTTTTCACTCAGTTTTAGTAAATACACCTCTATGCATCTATATACACATAGACTTTTTTCAGAGATTAGGAGCAGCAGAGTTTAGGAGCAGTTAAACGTCCCTCTGGTGAATCCAGAAGAATAACGTTCAGTAGAGGAATGTTTGGCCAGAAACGTGTGTAAATGTGCCTCGTTTAGCACTTGGGCGTTTATTCATTTTAATGTCAAGTACTCTGGAAAAAAAAAAAATTAATAAACTTCCAAGCGCTAAACGTTCTTTCTGCTGCCAGTAGAGTAAATGTCTATGGCAGTTCTGGTGTACATGTAGTCTAAGGGTTGAACCTCAGATCTCCATCCCACAAGGCACCATTGTGTTACTCACCATTCACTAGCGATGTAGTGTTCACACATATGTTAGAAGGGAATCAGTATTTGTCCTATGTTAATGTATGTGATATATTATTACTCATATACTCAAAAGTTGGATATTTTAAGCTGCTTGTGATTACACCGGATGCATTGTTCATTCCTTACTTTCAAATCTTTAAGAACATAAGGAAAATAGATTTGGTTAACTAACTTCTGTACTATTCTGAAGTGAAGCAAAAGATGTAAAAATATACTGCGAGACATTAGTAAACACAGAACAAAATATATGATGATCAGGTTATGAAGATTGCTATTTCACATTCTCAGGAAATACTGGCTTTGGGCCTAAGCATGTAAATGTAATATTACACCAGGGGGTGAGTGAAAACATTGTACGTAAGACACGTTAACTACATGACTGAATAAGTGGCATGTCAAGTATACTTGGCCTTCCATCAGACCTGAACAGGCTGTTCTGTAATATTCAGCCCAAACTGTGTGACTGGATCTTACTAGCCCCAGCAGTTCCAAACGCAACAACACACACTGATCCCACTATGTTGGTGTCCTCTGAGGTCTCGGGGATTGGAGGACATTTTTGTACTAAAGTGGATCTATAGACAGAAAATTAAGTCCTGCTGCATCACTTCAGGCTGTCCCATTTTGCAGGTATACAGTGACCCACTAACAGAGCGCAAATCGCCCAATTATTCTTAGTTCCGATTTTTGGATGAAAAATCGGACTAATTTTGCTCCATGTATGACCGGCCTTAGAGAGATTTTTTTTACCCTCACTTCCGGTTCTGGGGACAACTTCCTTTACTAGACAAGAAGTGAGGGAAGCTCTCCAACAGAGCCTCCGATGGCAGTAAAACCCGCGGAGAGTTTTAATCCTTTCCCACTCTTTTAAAACTGAAAAGGGTTTGGGGTATAAAAAACTCTTTAAAGTGGTTCCAAAGCCTTAAGGTTTTTCCCCTTATTGCATTCCATGCATTAAGGTGAAAAATGTTCTGTGCTGCAGGATCCCCCCCAGCCCCCCTTATACTTAGCTGAGCCTGATCCCATCCAGCGATGTGCACAAGAGCAGCAGCTCTCACCGCTGTCTCCCTCCTCCCTGGGCACATTGTTAGCAGTGAGAGCCATTGGCAATCAAATGCTGTGCTCAGCCAGTGGGTGGGTGGGGTCAAGCTGCCTGCTCTGTGTCAATGGATGCAGACAGGGCGGCCCGGGAGCGAGCCCGTACAGGTACCCCCATGGAAAGCAGCTTTCAATGGGGGCACCCGCTGAAGAGGAAAAGCCTGGAGCACCAGCGGGGGACTCCAGAAGAGGAGGATCTGGGATGTTCGGTGCAATACCTGGTGTGTATGCCATGTTTGTTGCTTTAGTAAAAAATAATAAAATAAACGAAGGTATAATGTCACTTTAACATTACTACATACTCAGGTGTGGAATATCAGAAAAGGTACCTGTTCTTGGATTGGTTATCAGTTTTAAGAAAAGCTTAGAAAGTGGATACTAAATGGTGCGTCATCAGCTTATGTGGTGTCCAGATTATAGAACTAATAATTGAGTCCTAATGATCAATGTGCTCATGTTATTTTCTGCCTGAAGGCTTGTTTAATGACAGTGGCTGTAGCATGCCTAATTCAATGGAAACAAAACACTAATGCTTCATTCCAGGTGACCCCCAGGTGACTTTCAGCACAACTTGCCCCAACCAGTGTAGAACACTACGTGACTTTGTTACCTATGGAAGACCATATGCTAATGTCTGCTAATCCTTTTTTCATGTGAGCACCCTGCCTCATTTATGTAGGACATGAACAAAATGAAACCCTTACTGTATATGCATATAAACAGTGACATTCGAAAATATTTTGATATTTTCATTTAAAATATGCCTTAGTTATAGCTCATCATTGGGTTCTATAAAATATCACATTTTAACAGCCCTGCAGATTTTGCAGTAATCTATATACAAAATTATTGCCTAACCTGACATAGGGTCGGAGCTTTTGTTCATGCTTCAAACCTACTCTGCAACAGAATGCCACACATACATAGTAAAAGTTTACCATTTCTTTACATGTACCATGCAGGGAGAGGCAGGACATTGTTTCTATCACAAAACAAAGTGTAGGTTTTCTAAAATGGTTAAGGCTAGGTTCACACCTATGCAGGTTACGCTTGACCCATTTCTGCATTGCATTTTGCAATGCTTTCTGTTTTTGCACCTGCATTTTTTTATGTGGTTTTGTATGCGTTTTGTGGGGTTTTTTTGCACTTTAATTTTATTTTTCTTCTTGCTATGCAGATTTAAAACACATCAAAAACGCAGCAAAAATGCAATACATGCTTTTTTGCAGCGTTTCCATTGAAGTATATATAACCGAAAATGCAACTTTTTGCATTAAAAAAAGTCCCTGACCCTTTCCAAAAAAAACACAGTGGGTGAAAACACAGAGATGTGAATATGTCCCATATGAAATCATGTTAAATGGACTGTACTGCGTTTCTGCAAAACGCTGCAGAAAACGGTTAGGGTAAGGCCTGGTTGCGTGTTGCAACCTGCTGGGAAAAACAAAAGTCCTTGACCGTTATCAAAATTGCAGCAGCTGAAATTGCATAGATGTGAACATGTCCCATAGGAAACCATGTTTAATGGACTGTAGTTTGTTTCTGCAAAATGCAAAAAAGCGCAAAAAAAAAAAGGATAGGTGTGAACCAGACCTTGTACTGATTCTGGCATTGAAAGGACATGAAAAGGGTCACATGTGCAGCCTAACTATTTTATGCCCTTTAGCTAGCAATTTATTGGAATTGTTAAATAGTTTAGTACAAGAGCTAAAGCAGAATATCAAGATTCAGCTGGCATAAATGGCTTGGACTTGCTTATGCTAGTTTAGAATCCAGTAGGAGTAGCAATGCAGTGACTCATATCTTGTGAGATGAGTTACATTTGTCTCCAGTCTGTTTTTGCTTAGACACTTGTTATGTAATGGTATCAATTCATTTTCATATAAAACAATACTAAACTACAAATGTCATTATTTTTATGCAGCAGATCTTGTCATTTTGAACATATTTTCACGGATCTGGACATATACAGATATCCTACTGAGGTTAAAGTGACACTAAACAACATCCTTATTCTCCAATAAGAATCCACACACCTCCACTACTTAATGGCTCTGTCATCTATTTTATTCAATAGTTTCTTACTGTGTTTTTCTGCCTCTTTGCAATGTCCTTTGTGAGCTCCTGAACTACTCCTTTTCCCTCTTAACTGCCTCCCACCCACCATATAAAGAAATGACGGGCGCAAGGCGGTTCTCTCGTTCTGGGAGGGTGTCATATGACGTCCTCCCACCCTACCCACGGCAGCGCGGCAATCGGTGGTACTCTGTGTCCCTCGGACACCAATCAACGGAAAGAGCCGAAGACTTCAGGCTCTGTCATGTGATCAGCTGTGTTCACGGTTATCGGCATTTCTCTCCTAACGAGCTGTCACGCTGACAGCTTGTGAGGAGAGGGGAGCTGGTAATCGGCATTCCTCAGAGGGGACATCTACACTGATCATCAGGGCACTGAAGATCAGTGTGCCTTGATGATCAGTGTAGCCCCGTCAGTGCCAGCTGTGAGTGTCCATTAATGCCACCTGCCAGTGCCCATCAGTGCCACATCTATGCCACATATCAGTGCCTACCAGTGCATATCAATGCCACATATCAGTGCCCATCTGAGCTACCTTTCATTGCCACCTATCAGTGCCAGTCAGTGCCACCTATCAATGCCAGTCAGTGCTGTCAATCAGTGCCACCTATCAGTGCCATTCAGTGCCGCCTATCAGGGCGCATCAGTGCCCATCAGTGCTGCCTATCGGTGCCACCTAACAGGGTCAGTCAGTGCCACCTAACAGTGCCAGTCAGTGCCGCCTATCAGTGCCACCTATCAGTGCCGCCTATCAGTGCCATATATGAGTGCTGCCTTTCAGTGCCCATCGGTGATGCCTGTTAATACCCATTAGTGCCACCTACCAGTGCCTCCTCATCAGTGCTGCATATCAGTGCCCATCAGTGCAGCCTATCAGTGCCCATCACTGCAGCCTCATTAGCGCATATCAGTGAAGGAGAAAAATCACTTATTTACAAAATTTTATAACAGAAACAATTTTTCAAAATTTCAGTGGTTTTTGGTTTGTTTAGCAAATAATAATAAAAACCCCATAGCTGATTAAATACCACCAAAAGAAAGCTCTATCTGTCTAAAAAAAATGATAAAAATTTCATATGGGTACAGTGTTGCATGACCGCACAATTGTCATTTAAAGTGTGACAGCGCTGAAAGTTGAAAATTGGCCTGGACAGGAAGGGGGTAGGCAAGTGGTTAAAATGATTGTTAACCCTCATCTCATAAAACAACCCATTGAGTTGAAAAATGAAATGAAAGGAAAAATATTTAGATATTAAACATTACAAATACCCTTTTCCTCTTTTTTTTTTGTATAAATGATCACATTCCCTCTGTTCTCAGCTGCATAAGAGCTAGGGGATGAAAAACAGCACTGAACTTCCCAGTGAAAGGCTGTGCTTTGGGATTGGTGGTAGTGGTGGTGGGGGGGGGGGGGTGATATGTGTCCAGACAAGTCTGAACATTGGAGGAGAGCAAACTGAGTTCCCAGCACAGCACGAAAACTAACCACACTGTGCTCTCATGCCTAGTGTGGTCAATTTTTAAGAGGAAAGCAGAGGGACTGGCAGGAACACCAGGGATTTTACACAAAGGAAACAATACAAAGAGAACAGGATACATTTTCATACAATTACATGGTACATATGAGGAATATGAAATGTTGGGTTTACATTTTCTTTAAACATTAGTTGTGGTCATGTGCACTGCTCTATGAACTCTACATTTACAATAGTCCATAGTCCCTCTCGGAAGTGAATAAGAGAGAGTGACTAAGTTCCAGTATACAGAGGAATAATGGGGAACCAACATAGCCACCCCTAACAAGAAATCGAATCACAGCAGCACAAAAAAGTAACTTGGTGGTTGAGAGCGATAGATGGTAATTTTCTGAGTTAAAGTGATTCTAAAGGTTTATTTTTTTTAGGAAAAATAACAAACATGTCTATACTTACCTGCTGTGTGCAGTGGTTTTGCACAGAGCAGCCCGGATCCTCCTCTTCTCAGGTCCCCTGCTGGCGCTCCTGGCCCCTCCCTCCTGTCGGGTGCCCCCACAGCAAGCAGCTTGCTATGGGGGTACCTGCTGCTTCGCGTGTCCATTCACACACGGAGCTGCATCTCGGCCCCACCCCCTCTTCTCAGCTCACTGGCTGTGATTGACAACAGTATGAGTCAATGGCTCCTGCTTCTGTCTCAGCCAATGAGGAGAGGGAGTCCTGGGCTAGCTGAGACTCATGTGCATATCACTGGATCGAGAAGGGGCTTAGGTGAGTATTTGGGGGGCTGGGGGGGATACTGCATACAGAAGGTTTTTTTTTTATGCATAGAATAGGTAAACAACCTTGAGCCTTTACAACCACTTTAAGAATACATACTTGCGTAGATTATTATAAACCAGAGTTTAGTGTCACTTTAAAGCTATTGTTGGGTTTAAATTGCCTAGAACCCATTATTAGCTTCACATGATTAAATACAGAGTGATGGTTACCCTTCAGTGCTATTATATAAAATAACATCACATTATTTTTTATAACTGCTCTGTAGATACATGGAATACTAATATTATATATAAAATACTGCAGAAAGCTCATTACTGTAGTTTTACACTCAAAACCTTACAAGACCTTATTAACTGTTGAAACAAATTTGCAAAACGTTTACGAACAAGTGGCTTAGAAGCATGTCTTGTGCTCTTTGGCTATCAATTCCCAGTTAATCCATATTTGTCAATAGTATTTGTAATACCTATTTTTGTTTAATAACAGGCTTTACATATCAAACGTGCACAAAAAGAATACTTCAGCTTTTCCTGGTGATGGTGGCTGGGTTGAATGACTACTCTCTGCTGTGTTTTCTGTCTCTTCCAACATTCCACTCTCAGTTGTACAGGTCTAATTAACCACTTACCCTTCAGAGAATTTACCCACCTTGCTGACCAGGCCATTTTTTTGTGTTACGGCACTGCATTATTTTAACTGACAGTTGTGCGTTCATGCAACGCCGCACCCAAATTAAATGTATGTCCTTTTTTCCCCCACAAATAAAGCTTTCTTTCAGTGGTATTTGATCGCCTGTGCGGTTTTATTTTTTTGCGCTATGAATAAAAAAAGACCGACAATTTTGAGAAAAAAAAATAAATATTTTTTTACTTTTTGCTATTAAACATGTACAGTAAAAAAATGTAAACAAAAATGTTGTCATAAATGTAGGCCAAAATGTATTCTGCTACATGTCTTTGCTAAAAAAAAATCCAATTTTGGTTTACGTGAAAGTTATAGCATTTACAAATACACTGATCAGTGCTAATAAAAAGCACTGACACTGTATTAATGGCACTGGGCATGAAGAAGTTAACATCTGGGGCGATCAAAGGGTTAACCGTGTGCTGTTTCACTATAGGGACTGTGTGTGCTTCACTGTAAGCACACTGCTTTGTATGGCTCTGCTATGTGTGCCACCCTGTAGCGGTATTTCTGCTATAGGGCGGCACGGAACCGGTTAAAAATGGCTGTTTAAAGTATATAAAAAGCCATACAGTTTTCGTTTTGGATAGCATAGGAAATGGTTAAAATCTGTGCAAGTGTTTTTTTTGTCATTGGTATCCTTGCACTTCCTGTCCGGACACAACATGAAGTAAGAAGAAATTCTTCTTAAGTCAATCTCCTCTTAGACAGTTGTCATCAGAAAAAGTGTCCCAGTTGGAAGACTTTTGGGGTTCATTCACACCCGATGTGGTGGGAGTGCTTTGGGTGGCTATTCCAGCTCAGTCCCACTGCACAACAAGGCAAAATTCCTTATCTCCTGTGTGCCCGATTCACATCATTGCATTGTGGTGGTGGTGTGCGGGCAATGTATGGAAAAAAGTATTGCAGACAGTACTGTTTCCAGAGCAGATCAGTTCAATCTACTGCCTATCACTCTGTGGTGGCCAACTGAACTTAATGAATTTTCTGTGTGACATTTCAATAAAGTTTGTTTACAAAAATAGTTAACAGTGTCAGGGTCGACCCACGGCACACCAGCTGCTGCGTTGTAATGCAGCGGCTGGCGTGAATTTCCTCTTCCTTTTGTTCTCTTGACAAGTCATTATTTTTAATTTTCCCTTACTTTTAGTCCTGGGGACAATGGTCAGCAGAACAGATAAAAAAGAGTGTATCCCCAGGCCGGACAGCAATACAAACCTGACAGTAGTTCACCTTCTATGCTCTTTCAATGTATGGCTTTTATCACTTTATGTGTAGTGACTGGCATTTTTTTTTTCACTTGGTCAAAGACAGCCACCACAAGGACATATAGAAAACAATTATTTTCCATGTGTCTTGTTCACACTGCAATGCTATCTTCAGGTGGGTTGCGGTGAAGACATGCTGCAATTTTCTGCAACACACCAGAGCTCACCTGAAATCACCATCTGTTCTCTCATAGGAATAAATACAATGTCACTGTGATATTTCAATAAATTATAAAAAGAAAAAAAGAGATAAACAGTACTTTGTGTTGTAAAACTGTAAGGCACCTCCTTCTTCCACTGGCGCAGAACGCACACTAGCCTGTACTCTAAAACAGTTCAGAAAGTAGTACTATTGATGTACAATACTGTGTTAGTGTTGTCTTACACAAGATTAAAGTGTTACTAAACCCACAACAGTAAAATCAGTCTGTATATGCAGTAAAGCATGCTTGTTATACTCACTGTGGAACCTAATGGGTTAATCCTCTGCATTGTGTAAAAAGGTCATTTGATCCTGTCTTCTCTGCCCCTCCTCTTGTTTAAATGTCCACCTGACAAGACAGACTGAACCTGTAGCCATTCAGTCTGGCGTGTACTACTAGAGAGGTTTTTTTTTCTTGGGAGAGTGCATGTGATCAGCACAGGGCCAATCAGCACTGTTCAGACAGAGGTCTGGGTTCCTGCATCCTCCTAGAGAAGGAAGAAAACTCCTCCTACAAGCTTTAACCAGTGTTCTGCTGAACACTGATAGAAGTCACAAGACTGCTGTAAATGCTGTTGAGAAAAAGTATTTAGTAGTTTATACAGTCAGGTCCATAAATATTGGGACATCGACACAATTCTAACATTTTTGGCTCTAAACACCACAATGGATTTGAAATGAAACGAACAAGATGTGCTTTAATTGCAGACTGTCAGCTTTAATTTGAGGGTATTTACATCCAAATCAGGTGAATGGTGTAGGAATTACAACAGTTTGCATATGTGCCTCCCACTTGTTAAGGGACCAAAAGTAATGGGACAATTGGCTTCTCAGCTGTTCCATGGCCAGGTGTGTGTTATTCCCTCATTATCCCAATTACAATGAGCAGATAAAAGGTCCAGAGTTCATTTCAAGTGTGCTATTTGCATTGTGAATCTGTTGCTGTCAACTCTCGAGATGAGATCCAAAGAGCTGTCACTATCAGTGAAGCAAGCCATTATTAGGCTAAAAAACAAAACAAACCCATTAGAGAGATAGCAAAAACATTAGGCGTGGCCAAAACAACTGTTTGGAACATTCTTAAAAAGAAGGAAAGCACCGGTGAGCTCAGCAACACCCAAAGACCCGGAAGACCACGGAAAACAACTGTGGTGGATGACTGAAGAATTCTTTCCCTGGTGAAGAAAACACCCTTCACAACAGTTG